CGCGTTTATCCCAAAAGATATATGTGGTGTGTGGAAGGTTTTATTTGTTTTTTTTTTTTTTTTTTTTTTTTTTCAATTTTAGTCTTCATGAATCAAATCATGATATAATTGCAAATGTTTTTTTTTTCTTTCCTTTTTTTCCAAAACGACCATCTTTCCATAGTTGCCCCGATCTGTGGCGCATCCTGCAGCAAACGTGACTCTCCACACGCCAGACGGCCGCAGCATCATCGTCCTACCCGACGTCCTCTTAATCATCATCATCAGCGCGCCTGCCACCGCCCCCAAACGGTGGCTGCCTTTAAATACTCACAGCCTTCCCGTAAGAGCAGCTGCACTTGTGCGGAAAGAGAGAAGGAGCCGTGACATTCCACCTCGTGTTCTCGCCTGATTAACTTAAACCGTAAAGGTAAGGCGATTTAAAATTGACCAACGATTCAGAGAAACATACTGTTTATTATTCACTGCCAATTTGGGTATCATTTGTTGCAATTTATTTATTTTTTTTAACAACCTGATGATCGGAAGGTTTGGGCGTCATTTTGCTGATGCCGCAGCTCCACTATTTCCCGGTGCTTCTCCTACAAATGAAACCACTATAAGACGATATAGTGGTTTTGTCATGTCTTGATGGCTGCAGCTGGCTGTTGTGATTTACGCAGTGGGTACGCCCTCTGTGTTCATATAGAGGTGACTACAGCATCCTGGCATGATTCTTGGTCATATTAGACTGATTCTTCTAAAAAGAAAAGCTTGACTAAAATTGCTCCTGGATGGGAATTATCTCCATTACAACGAAGACGGACCTTCACAGTTGCTTCGGTTTGTGTGAAAACCTGAAGAGCTCAACATGTACTAATCATCAAGCAGCTTGATGAGGGAGACATGTCTGTAGGTGTGATGCTAAATATCCATCAAGCTCCCCATACTTAAAAGGACTTAATGAAATGTACATAAAACATACATTGACTATCTTTTTTTCTTTTATTTTCTTTTTTGGCATTTTTTCCTAATTTTCTTACCATCTAACTAATTCTCATTTAAATGCTGCCCCCTGCAGGGTAAATTCGAGCCATTCTGACCTCCACCCAGTATGGCACATGCAGAGTAATCCTGTAACCCCCCAAAGAGTCTCCTCCTGAGGGGCAAGACCTCTCATTTGAGGAAACACTGATAGAATAATAATGAGAATGCATCCATGATGCTTATTGCAGCGTTCAGTAATGTGAAGAGTCACAACACCTAGAACTAAAAACCCTCAGCAGGAGGGGAGCCTGTCAGGAGCCCCCACTACGCGCTTGCCTTCATACTACAGCGGAAAACCAGCCTTGTCATGACGGTGACGTAAACGTCTGCTCGTGGCAACGCTCAGCCATGCCTGCCCAACCAGGAAGCAAGAGGCCGTGTGTGACGTGGGGAGGGGATGGTCCCTGCTGCAGTAGGTTCCCTGGGCATTGGCGATCACTGAGGAGAACAGAGGCTCTGAAGAGCCCCATCTGCATCATTGTGTGGGGATGAGACACGAGGGGGTTTGTGGTTGCAGAAATGGCAGTTGTGATGACCTAATAATGAAATCCTGGTTTCACTCAGCCTGCTGGGGAGGGGATGTGAAATAAGTCACGTATTCTGTGGTGTAACTCCACTGGTAAAAACCTGAGACTCTTAACACTAGTGGTTTGGCTGCTTTTCATCTGCCAACTTCCTTCCCCATGTGTAATTTATTTCCACAGATGTCCACTCAGGAAAAGCTCATCAGCCATGTGATGAAGGAGGAGCCAATTGGCTGCCGGAACAAGGTGACGGTGGTCGGAGTCGGCATGGTGGGCATGGCATCCGCCATCAGCATACTGCTCAAGGTGTGTATGAGCGGCTCCAGATCAAGTTTTATAGGAGTTTTGCAAACGCAGAGAGTTAGAAACAAACCAAGAAAATAGCAGCTGGCACTGTAAAGAAAATGCTGTCATAAATTGGTGCAGGCTGAAAACTAGAACTGGTGTGGTACAACATTTTGTGGCATTTGTAGCTGCAGAGGCATTTCATTTCATCAGTATTCTCTTACAACAGAGCACACAGCGAGGAGACGGTGGATGACAGAAAAAGCCTGTCATTAGTCCTCCATTTCAATGTAATTTGAAAATCTGAAAAGTGTGGTGTGTATTTTTATTTAGTCCCCTTTGTCTTGATAATACTAAATACATGTGTATTTTGTACGTAACGCTGCAGACATCCACAGCTTATGTAGTGGAAATGGACGATAGGGGAACTATTGATTGCATGGTCTTTGAAGCTGGTAGAGTGACAAGAGGAAAGCTAAAATTAGGTTTCAGTGAGGATCGTGACTGTAGCGTAGCTAGATGTGGAAAAGTATCTGAAGTTTATGAACAACACACAAACAATGATACTGGCTGTCACGAATTGGTCAATTTGAGCAAGCTCTTTGCAAGCTGTGACAGAACAAAAGTTTGACCCGCATGTGTAAACTCAGGATCTGTGTGATGAGCTGGCCCTGGTTGACGTGATGGAGGACAAGTTGAAGGGTGAAGCCATGGACCTGCAGCACGGCGCCCTCTTCCTCAAGACGCACAAGATTGTGGCCGACAAAGGTGTGAGACGTTAACATTAAGTCTGCCAGGAGAGCTCTTAACAAACCACGTCATGCCCTTTCTGTCATTTTGTCAGACTACAGCGTGACCGCCAACTCCAAGGTGGTGGTGGTGACTGCCGGGGCCCGCCAGCAGGAGGGCGAGAGCCGCCTTAATCTGGTGCAGCGCAACGTTAACATTTTCAAATTCATCATCCCCAACATTGTGAAATACAGCCCCAACTGCATCCTGCTGGTGGTCTCAAACCCAGGTTAGTCAGATGATCATGAGATTAGGTGTATATCCTCTCTGGGGGGGGTGGGGAAAAAATACTGGCTTATGTGCTTATCACGCATTTTGTACTTTTGCAGTCGACATCCTGACCTACGTGGCATGGAAGCTGAGTGGTTTCCCACGTCACCGCGTCATTGGCTCTGGCACCAACCTGGACAGCGCCCGTTTCCGCCACCTCATGGGAGAGAAGTTCCACCTTCACCCTGCAAGCTGCCACGGCTGGATCATCGGAGAGCATGGAGACTCGAGTGGTATGCAAGTCTTTCTAAAAATAAATCATCTTCTAAGTCACCTCTAGTTTTTTTTTTTGTTGTTTTTTTTTTTTAACACATCCATCTTGAGGTCAGACATTGACATACACACTAACAGCGCCTATTGAACAATTTTACATTTTAACAGCTTTATGTCATCAACAACCAGTGTGATCGGATCTTATGTTGTAGAAAACAAACCTGGGGCACATAATTATAAAGTGGAAGGAAAGGGACGCATGGTTTTCACAATTTAGGAGAAATGCAAATTTGAACTGTGCATTACAGCTTCAAGTATTTTGGAGTATCTCTACCAGATTTTCAGGTTAAGACTGAAATTTTGCCAGGCCTTTTTCAAGAATATAGCTCAAGATCAGTCATGTTGACTGAAGAGTGTCTGTGCAATTTTTCAAGTCTTGTTAGTCAATTGCATTTAGGTCTGTACTTTGACTGGGCCTTTCTTCAAGAATTCTTCTGCATTTAGCTTCATCCATTTTCTCATCAACTCAGTCCATGAAAATCACGAGTTCTTTGAAGAACAGCTGTAGTTACACCAATCTTAAATTAGACCTGATTACTAATTGGGTGTCTTGTGAAGGTAACTGCATTGGATTTAACTGGGATATCAGAAATGGGATGGAAGTGAACAAAGATGTAAAGTGCACTCATGTTTTCATTTGTACAAAAAATGTTATCCTTTCTTAAAAGGCCACAATAAGTTGCATTCAAGCTTGTAATTGTAGTGTTGGACTGTGAGACAGTTTAAGGCGCATTGACCCTTTTGTCTTTATACATCTTTACTGTGTGTTAGGACATATCTGCCAGAATGTAACAATCTAAATGTTGCTTCCACAGTGGCTGTGTGGAGTGGTGTGAATATTGCTGGAGTTTCTCTGCAAAAACTCAACCCAAATATGGGTGCAGATGGTGACAGCGAGAACTGGAAGGACGTGCATAAGAAGGTGGTTGATGGGTAAGTGTGATGCAGTCCTACTCACCGACTGTTATTCATTGTATTTAAATTGTTTTTAGAGCTTTTGCATAATGTAATGGTAAAGATTGGTGCCAGCTTAAACCTTTAAATTAAAAGTAGCTAATAAATCAATTTAACCAAACTATGAAGGCCCAACAATCTATATTGCGTTTCATGACTTTGCAGTGCTACTTTTCTGGCTGCTCCATGATGCAAAAGTTTACTCAATAGCTCTATTTGACATTGTGCCATTATTTTGTCAGCCACCGAATGTGACTTATCTTGGAGTAGCCATGTAGAACACAATAGGTTACCTTAGCATAAATGTCAAGGTATCAGATGTATTGAAAGACTCAAGTCTTGAACAAAGAAGGGTAAACTTTCCCAATGTGTCTCAACAAGAGGTACCAATTGGGAAAGACCAGCCAGCATGTGGTATTAATAATTCCTGTATTTTTAAAACTGGGTTTCTGTGATAATGCAGGGATTTATTTTCCATGAGAAGAAGGTGGAAGATGAGAGTGCCTGAATCTTGATCAGTTCAGGATGTTTGAAGTTGTTGTCATAATGATCTTCTCTGAACATTGCAGGGCCTATGAGGTCATCAAGCTGAAGGGCTACACCTCCTGGGCTATTGGCATGTCTGTGGCTGATTTAGTGGAGAGCATTTTGAAGAACCTGCACAAAGTTCACCCCGTGTCCACACTTGTCCAGGTACGAACAAAACCAAGAAGTGCATTTACATTGTCTGTAAAATGGAGTTGTTCTAACGGCCGATTTCCTTCTACTTTCCCTTGGATAGGGAATGCATGGTGTGAAGGATGAGGTTTTCCTGAGCATCCCGTGTGTTCTGGGCAACAGTGGCCTGACCGATGTCATTCACATGACGCTGAAACCCGAGGAGGAGACGCAGCTGGTGAAGAGCGCCGAGACCCTGTGGGGCGTGCAGAAGGAGCTCACTCTGTGAAGAGCTCTCCTTTAAAACCTTAAACACTCCTGAAAAATCCCAGCAAATACTCTGCGGTTGATCCCCCTCCTACTTTACCTCTCGTTTCTTTCCCAGAGCAACAAGACTTCTGAATATAATAAAAGTCGAAGTGTCTATAGCTAAGTCATTCAAAGATGGGTGTAACACTTATATGCTCGCACACTGTCATTTTGCTTTTCCAACCCCTGCCCCCCCCCCCATCCCCCACCTGTCCTCGTCCATCTGTGGCCAAGAAACGTTTACCCCCTGTATTTAAGGTCAATCTGTTTTGAGTAGAGTGGATATCTGTTTACGACTCTCTACTACAAGAACTTCAGACCATTGGATGTAATTTGTGTACTGTCGGTTGGTGTTTTTTGCTGCGTTCTCTGTGCACTGTATTTGTTAATTCTGTGGTTGTAACTAGTCAAATTTTTCCACTTGGTAATCTCTGTTTTGTAAGCGTAACAGAGACATTCCATTCTCTATAAGGAGTGACCATTACCAACTTATCGTCATGACAACACTGCCACATATTATCACGGGGCCAAAATCCTGTGATACCAAAGAACCTTTATTATTTAAAAAAATATGCAGTCCACTGAAGCAAACCTAACCACAAATGCACTGACATGTAGGTGAGATTACTGGTGGAACAGAGCTAATTTACCCAGAGAGCCAGTGGAGACTAGTCAGCCAGCATATTTACCTTTAGATGAGGTAAAAAAAAAAAATCTACAGTTCTGAGATTGTTTGCCCACAGAAATGCCCAGAGGTTTTATATTTAACTCCAAATATAGACTATATTATCCAAGGCTGTAATGCAGAAAATACATTAAATGCTGCTGCGTTCAGATATACTGTATCACTTAGAGAAACTGTTTCTGTCATGGCAGCTGGATATTTTTATTTGCTGCAACATCAAGTAAACCTGCCAGAATATTAACAGATGTCTGTCTTTTATTTATTTCCAGCTGGTGAAGCATCACTATGTGGCATATTTAAATGTCAAAGGATGCTGACAAATGGGATCAGGTCCTTTTTGTCTGTTCATATTATTTAAAGTCACAAAATCAGTGGTGCCAAACCAGACCCAACTAGCAAACTCAAAGCACTGGACCTTGTTTGTGTAAAACGGTTTTGTGGATGTTTAAAGGAAGACCTATGTCTTCCATAACTACTGCTTTCCAGTACTTTTCAAGTTTCTTCTTTTATCTATGAATAAGAACTGACTTCCAAAAGTTTGTTTATAAATGTTACTGCATAATAAATTCAGACAATTCATTAAATCAACTTTAATTTTTAATGCTTTACATAAATCTACAGATATAAAAGAACAGGTGGTCTATGGTTGAATTGAAAACAAGAAAAATAAGATTCTATGATACAATTCAAAGTGCATTTAGTAAAAGGCTAATTTAAAAGACAAAACTTTACATAACTTAATATATTGATTAGTTTAATAGTTCTTTTTGTACCCTTTAGCCCTCAATGTTATTCACAACATTTTAGTGAAAACCAAATGCTCTCAGCAGGTCTGAGCATAAGTGGAAAGCAAACATAAAGAGAATACCTTAATATTACAAATGCCAAGGCTGTACAAGGTGAAACAACTACTTAACTTAAATGACTTTTCAATGCACTCAAACTGATGTGTAAGCCTGGGTTTGTGAGACATAATCTAAAACATTTGGACTATCAGAAGGGGAAAATGTAGAGGATCAGAGAGTGAAGCAAAAACTGAAGCTCAGTAACTGACCCATATGTGACAGAAAGTCCATGTAGGTTACGATCTTCACTGTGTAAAAAATGATCTCTATAATTCCAACATTACAAAATATAACCCACAACTTCCATAGCATAAAACCTGAGGCCAGGCCCATGTCATTTAGGGGATCCTCTGTGGGTGTTTCTGGTTTAGGACAAATATTCATGTGGGAAAAGGAACAGAACTCTAAAACCTGTTCAAGCAGGTTTTTCCCCCAATATTACTGATGCTAACCAGACAAAATATCTAGTTGACCAAATTTATTAATGGATGGAGTGCAGGATGCTGTATGCAAATCACCAGCCTTAGTGGAAACCAATGGCAACTGCAGCATCGACATTGCTGTCAAGGAAGCTGCATGCACTGTACACACAAGGCTTTAACTCATATTACACCAGTCTCTCATGTGTGTCAAGCAGCTTCCTAAATCAACCACACAATGAAATTCACAAAAATACCAGGTTTTTTTTTTTTTTTTATGAAATCAAAGTAATTGCTGACCATCTGGATTGTGTTTGTGACCTACCATAGTGCCAAATATAAAAGAGGCCACAGTCAGACATTACAGAATTCTTCATAAATGCTTTTTCTCATTTTTTTTTGTTAAAAAGAGGCAGCTGGTTGGTATACAAGAAGACTGTAGAAAGGAAATAAACAGCAGGAAGAAGAGTAGGAGTGTGAATATACGCATGTTTCCGAGCGGTCATTGTGGGTCAGTACAGGTCACTTAGGCCAGCAGTCTTACGAGCTTTCTGCATTAGAGCTCGAAGCTGGAACTGTTTCCTGGACAGAAGGCGTACATGCTGCAAGAGAAGAAAACAAGAGTGAATGTGGAAACCACTACAGAGAACAAAGGTCAGCAGATACCAGGGATGCTCTTCACTGAGCTACCTTGAGGAAAACCTCCAGATCTATGACACCTCTGCGCAGGGCCTCTCCCAGGTAGAAGATTGTATCTTCAATTGCATTTTCTTCTGCATACAGATTCAGAATCTGCTTGTACAGAGGAGCTGTGGGCACAATGACATCATCTATATCATTGTTCTCTGATTGGTTCTCCATTTTCTCCAAGGCTTCGGTTAATTCCTCATCCTTCTTCTTCAGCAGCTCAATGTTCCTGTCAACATCAGTCTGTTGGAAGCAACAAAATTGGAGGACAATAAAACCTTAAAGGAGGAATAAAAGAGAAGAAGTACAACAGACAAAGTATCTTACCACTTCCTGGTCAAGTCTGGAGATCATCTCCTCCAGCTTCTGATGCCCTTTCTTTAGATCTTCCTCTGTTCGCTTCAGGGCATCCAGCTCTGCTTGAGCTCTGTCCATTTCTTCTTTCATTCTCCAGCGAAGTTTGTCACTTACGGCTGAAATCAGAGACGCGCGAATGGTGTCTTCGCCAATGGTGCCGTCCCTGGTTGGCCCTTAGGAAACACGGATTGAAAATACTCTGTGATACAGTGTGGTAAAACATAACTGCACCATACCAGCATGTTAAGCTTGGACCTCTCCACTTTGAAATTGGTGGTTATTGTAGTGTTTTAATAAGACTGAAAGAATGTATATTTAACACCATTATGAGTATAATATTTATATATTTTTTTATCTTTTCCATTATTATATTAACATTACTTGGACAGACTAGTTTAGAAGTAAACAAATCTGTTGTAAATGTAACAGATTTCTCTAAAGCCAAGAGACACTTAGGTCTGAAGTCAGCATCATTAATGTCTGTTGACTTTTATGGCAGGCAAAACCAGCTTTTTCCATCACTAAAGGAGTTGCCTAAAGTTCTTCCTGCATGCTGCTGAAGGAGCAGAATTCACCACTGTAGAACCGTCTTTGTTTAAGATATTCTGTGTGTGTTGAGACAGTCTGTGGGGGGCAGGGAGAGACCATCCAGCACTTTGGCCTTTAATACGCTCCACTCCAGTTACAGCTGTGGCCTTTCAGAAGCCACTCGGCATACCACTGAAGTCACCAGGAGGGTGAGAGAGTGTAAGTAAAAAGGTCAAGGGTCCTCATTTAGGGTTGGATGAGGAACATGGAGATTTAAAGAACTTTATGGATAAAATTAAGATATTCCATGACTTGAGATGCTGTGTTTTAAAGTAAATTAAGAACCAGATTAAGTGCAGATGATTACGGTTTGTGAATCTGCATATTTCCCCCAATATTAGCACAAATTTTGGAAAAACTCTGTTCAAGCTATCATAGATGCACGTACAAGAAGAGATTTACCTGAAGCATAAAAAGGCTACATCTAATACATACCCACTGTGGAGACTGGAGTCTGAGTTGGATAGTGTCCAGGTCCAGCTGTGGCTGGATAAGAGTTCCCAGGAGGGTACTGGTAAGCTGGGTAACCTCTGAAAAGAGTTGCATTATTAAAATGACAGTTCTTTATATTTTTCCATTTAAAAACAAAACTTTAAAGATAAAAACACAAGAAGCAAACTCTAGCTTATTTTTATTTTATTCTTTTGCTCACATGTTTTATTTTAAACTGTTTTGCCATAATAATGCTCTACTGTGTCCTTCTAAGATAAAAAAATAAGGTCATTTCTGTTTAACATAATGACTAATCAGTTGACAGTGCTCCAAACTCCCTTATTCCAGAACCAGAGATCCAGAGTAACTTTTGATCTAGGTTACCAAGTCAACTGAAAAGGATCAACTTGGATCAAAATCTCCATGAGTAATTTGGGTGAGCATAGACTAAGTTAACAAAATAATTAACCCATTAAACCTAGGTACACTTGGACTGAACTTTCTTGATCCAGAACTTGGTAACCATAAGAACCCTTGACCTAGTTAAACCAGATCACTGGGTCACTAGGACCAGCGTCCTGCTCCTTCAGAACTGGGTAACTAGGGAGATTCTGGACCAAGTTTACCCAAGATGAGCACTACTGTCCCTGTGTAAACTTGAACCCTGGTCTTATTAGGTCTTCATGTGAGTATTTATCTAGAGGTATGTATTGGTTACAAACGTAACCAATAATAAAAACATCTGTCTGACAATCCGATGAATAAAAACAACACAAAGTAAACACCATGGCACTTAGTTGTCAGAAAACACATTATGCAGGCTTTGACAATGTAGAAACATCTTACCCTGGATTGGGATTTTGCCCATAGGGTGAGACTGCAGGCATTCCAGGCATATATGAAGCTGAGGAAGACAAAAGGTATTTCAGAGTAATTAAAAAATATATTTTTGAGGATGAAATAGTTAAAAAACTGTAACTCCAGGGAAGATTTAGCTTAAGTCCTGAAGAGCTACCATGGTATGCGAGCACCCCCTGGTGCTCAAGGTAATAAATGCATTGCATGAAATATGATGGCAGGAAAGAGAAAGACAAAAGATGACTAGAAATTTTGATGCA